CTGGTCATTAGGCGTTGCCTTCTCGGGTTCAGCGGTGCGCTCGATCTCTGCAGATTCCTTGAGTTCCTTCGGCTCACCAGGCGTTGGCTTCTCGGATTCAGCAGTATGCTTGCTTTCTGCTAAGTCCTTAGTCTCTTTCGGTTCACCAAGCATTGGCTTCTCAGGTTCAGCAGTACGCTTTCTTTCTGCAGCCTTGACTTCCTTCGGCTGGTCACCAGGCGTTGATTTCTCGGGTTCAGCAGTACGTTTGCTTTCTGCTGCCTTTAATTCCTTCAGCTGGTCATTTGGCGTTGGCTTCTTGTGTTCGGCTCTACCCTTGATTTCTGCAGGATCGTTGACTTCCTTCTGTTCATTAGGTGTTGGCTTCGCGGATTCAGCTCTATGTTTGCTTTCTGCAGAATCCTTGTTTTTTCTCGGCTTAGTGTGAGTAGATTTCTCTGACTTAGTGATGGGCTTGCCTGTCGCAGGACCGACTTCTTTTGCAGCGATTTCTCTTAGTTCCTTTGGCTCACCACCCATAGGCCCTTCGAGTTCAGCCTTCGGTTTGTTTTCCGTGGATTTGATTTCCTTCGGCTGATCGCTAGGCGTGCGCTTCTCTGATTTAGCATCAGGCTTGCTTGCTGCAGGACCAGCGTCTTTTGCAACGGCTTCCTCGACTTTTTCCGGCTGTTCAGTGTGCGTGACCCTCTCGTGCTTAACATTGAAGTCGCTTGCCGCAGGGCTGGCGGTTTTGGCGGGAACTCGATCGCCCTCCACATGAATATCTCTGATGTGTGCAAGTGTTGCTTCCGACGTGGCACAAGGGCTCTTTTCTGTTTTGACCTTGCCTCCTTTTGCACTTTCCTCATTCACGGCAAGTATCTTTTTCATAGGTGGATCGCCCTCATCTGCAAAAATAAATTATTATTGACAACCTTTTTCTTAAGCTTGCAGTCCCTCCTTTAGCTCAATTTAACTTCCTTTATTGTAAGTTCATAAATCTTTATTTATTATTGAATCAAACTAAAAGCTCTTAAGCTCTTCTTAAAAAGATTTTGGAAATGTGTAAGGACATCTCTCAGAATGAATGTTTCAGTATTACTACATAAGAAATAATCTGTTGGTTCTCATGATAATAATGGCGAATTTTTCTAACTATGCTTTAACAGTCGTTT